TATTTTTTAAATTTTAATTTACCGTTGAGGAATAACACCCATTTTAAGGTTTGAATAATTATTTTTATTTAAATCATTACCTAATCACTAAGCTTATTTAATTAATTGCTCAAAGTGTTCTTCATTGACTTGTAAACAATAAAATAATCGCTGTTCAAATTCTTGACGGACATTTTGAAAAATTTCCCGGGGTATGGCCCTACACGCTGCTGTTATGCGATTTTTTAAATCTTCAATGTTTTGGAGAAAGATTTTATAAACTACCAAGTTTAAATGACCCCAAAGAAAAAAGTAGTTCGGGCTAAAATCAGGTGACCTTACAGGCCATTCTATTGGCCCTCTTCTTCCTATCCACCTCTCTGAAAATCTATCGCCCAGCCAATCCCGAACATATCTGGCGTAGTGGGGACGTGCCCCGTCTTGTTGAAAGTGAATAAAATCTTCATTAATTATGGCGTTACCGACGTCGTCCCTTTGATTTTCCACTGCATCAGTAATTAGTGGATCAATTGCTTCTTCCAACATGTTTAGGTAAATCTCCCCCGTCAGATTTTCATTTAGGAATACAGTATTACCCAGAATTCCCGCCCAAACATTGATTTTATGTGGGCACTGCGTATACCCTTCTCTAAAAATATGAGGGTTTTCATCACTCCAATAGCGATAATTATGTTTATTGACATCTCCATTAAGGAAAAATGTGCATTCGTGAGTAAAACATGTGTTTAAAAGCAAATTTGGAGTTCGTGCAATGTACTCGGTCATTTTTTCACAAAATTGAATTCTTGGATCTCTTCATTCAATGCGTATAGAATTTGAATTTTATACGGATGGAATTTGTGAAGCTTAGTTACCTTGTGGATTGATCCGACTGACACGTAGGTGGCATTAGAAACCTACCTTATGGAAGTACATATGGATCTGCCGCAAAATGTCCTAAAACCTCAATTTGAGTAGCCTCATCAAGAACCCTAGGACCTCTACGTTTTAAATTGGCTACCGACCCCGTGGTTCTAAACTTTTGAATAAGCTGCATGCAATAAATGTGAGAAACATTTTTATCAGGGTGCCTCGCATTGAGAACAGTAGTCCGAGGTGATTCATTACATGATCCATAAATAAGCACTAATTCAACTCTTTCTTCCAGAGAGTAAACCATTTTTATAAAACCGTAGCCCGAAATTGAAAGGAAACACTTGTGCATTCACATCACAAAGTGATACTGATATTTCGTTGCAATTCTTCTGAAATATCATAAAATAAACAAATAAAAAGAAGAAATGTTTGCAAATTTTAATGATAACAAAAGAGTCTGTTTAAAAAGGTGGAATGCATATTGTTTACTGATTTTTTTTTAATAACAAACATGTAATTTTTCTTAATATTTACAGCATTTATGGGACAGAGCAGTAATTTGGATATTTTTATTATGTCTACTTATTTAAACTTTAATATGGGTGTTATTCCGCAACGGTAAAGTAAAATTTAAAAAATAGGACGTCAAAATGTTCAGAATAAAAAGCGCTTTAAAATGATGTGTCACACGACCCCTTGTTTAATTTAAAAAAATTGGGGTGGTAGCCCTGGGGGTTAGGGGGTTGAAGCAGAGCCATCCAATTTTTCATGAAACACCTTGCCCCTCGATAAATTTGTTGACGTTCTGTCTATTTTTGCAGATAACGTGGGTGGTAAGTTTTAAAATGAACACCCTGTACATTTTTATTTATTTTTCCTTTTTATCCTTTTTTTGTACATTTCGAAACATGTTTGCTCTATTTAATTTTTTCTTCATTGGATTCAGTTTACCCATTAGAATTATATTTATTTTTTTTATATAATTAAAAATATACATTTTTATAAAATAATTCTAACGCCATACTGGCTAATTTGACAGAAGAAATTTTCCAACGTGTCTTGATTAAACATTCGTGTGACAAATTTAAATTCACACAGATTCATTATTATTTGTTTTACTCTAATAAAACCTTCAATGGTTTGTACCCATCCATTAAGTACTGGAGGTACACTCCTATCTGTTCTTTTTACAAATTTCATGGATTGAAGGACATTAAATTCAACCCTATGTATATTATTTAAAAAAATCAAAAGACTAATAAAACAGCTTTTCAAAGATATATGATGTTCCTATATCTAAACCTTCCGGTTTCTTCAGTAGAACTATTTAAAAATTAATAATTCTATTATAACAGTCCCGTTTCAAAAATTTCGTTACCATAACTATTTTAGAAATTTAGCAAGTCTCATTGATGCTTATAAAGTTTGAATATTTGTCATGGTAACGTTTTCTTTAAACGAAACAACTAGAATGGAGTTATTATCTTTTAAATAACTTTACTGAAGAAACCAGAAGGTTTAAGTATAGAAACATGATATATAAGATGGCGCACCTCATTCGTCTCGGTTGATTATACGAAAACGTAAAGATATAGAAACAAAATATTTTATGGGTATACGTGGAAAGACAATGTACTTAATTTAAAATTATTTTGAAATGTACAGGGTGTGTCAGAACTAAGGTCCATACGAAAGTTATATTTTTCATATGGAACGCCCAGTATTTTATTTCTTTTTGGATCCTTGGACACAAAATAAAGCATTTATTATAAGGGTTAAATATGTTTACAAGCTTTAGTTTTTAAGATATTTAAAAGCATTTAAATATGCATGCCATAATAAAAAAGTTTGTCAACACCCTATACATTGCATTTTTGATAATTAATTCTTATGCTGATTTTTAAGCTAGAGAAATAAACTTTCCTAAAAAATTTCATTGCTTCGTTTAATGTATACGGGGGTATCAAAAATTGATGGTCTATTTTAAATATTTATTTTACATAAAAACTTGGTCATTTCAAATACAACACCCTGTATTTTTTAAAATACGTCGAAACAGATTCAAATGCTCTTTCAAACTATATTAGGGCGTCCTATACCTATCTAGCTCAGATCTCAAATCGAAATATCTCAAAAACCAAAAAGTTCAAACATATTTAACCCTTATAATAAATGCCTTTTTGAGCCCAAGAAACCAAAAATGAAATAAAACACCGGGTGTTCCATAAGAAAAAATATAACTTTGGTATGGATCTTAGTTCTGAATACACCCTGTATATTTCAAAATACTTTTAAATTCTGCACATTGTCCCCATATATAAAATATTTTGTTTCTACATCTTTCCGTTTTCGTGTAACCTGTATATATGAATTTTACAACTACAATAAAAAACAGTTAAAGATAAAATTTAAAATGTACCTCTTAAATTATAAACCCAAACCAACCCTATTTATCGTTCACAAAAAGCAATTTTATTTGTTGTCATTACAATGATTTGAGCGCTTTTATAATAAACAGAAATATTTTTTTGATCTTCCTATTTGATATACAATCGGATGATTTTTTCTTTAACCTATAAACCAAATTTCAGCTTTTAATATGCCGAATTTATGATTTAATGAATGCTTGCTCAAGAACATTTTTTGTCAATGTTACACATGTTTTATTTTTATCCCGTAAACTATTACAGGGCTTTCAGATGGAGCGGAGCGTCCGCGCGGATGTTTTTTTAAGATAGTCGTCGACGAACTCATCCGGACGGAGCATACGCGACCCATGTGAAATTGTTCATATTGTTGCGGACCCGTGTGTACTCGGCCATTTTTGCGCATATATAAGCCGGCGCCTGAAGCCTGAGGACAGAGAAAAACAACCGGTCTACGCGTACAGTTACAATCGCCGCGCTAAATTCAAAATAAATTCTTTCTAGATAAATAGTTATAAATCGCTTGTAAATAGTTCTTTAACTCTTTTATCGTTATTGTTTTTGTTAATTAGTGATAAATAAATTGTGTTTAAATAAATTGTGACTTTCTATCCACAGGGAACCGACGAAAAACGTAACAATTGGTGTCAGGTGAGACGTGTGTGATAGACTATACAAAAATAAAAAGACTGACAATGGCTCCGAAAAAATTGTTGAAAGACTTGAAAGTGTCCGAACTCAAATGCATATTGGAAGAGAGAGAGTGCAAGACAGATGGAAAGAAAAGCATTTTGCAAGCCAGACTGAGAGGCGTTTTAGTGGAGGAAGGTGAGGATCCTCACACATTTTGCTTTTGAGTTGGAAGGTGACCTTGACTCGTGCCTACAAAAATTAGAAGATAAAATGACGGAAAATTCTCAAAAATTAGAAGATATGATTATGGAAAATTCCCAGGATTTAATAAATATTTTAGAAGGCAAGATAACAGAAAATTCTAGAAGAAAGTTTATATAGATTGCCTTGTTTATATAGTTTATATAGAAGCCTTTGTTCTTGGAATCATACACGAACATTAACCCGGCCTATGGGAAATCAGAGACTCCTACTCTGAATCCACATAGGTAATTCTCAGCAGGCGCGTCCAAGTCGCGAGGGTGGGCCCGACTCCACGGAATCGGTGGCTAAGTTCTGCTGGGGACCCAGTATTGCGGGGTATGACGCAATCCCTTTGCTCAGGGATACGGGTGAAGACCACACCGGCAGAAAAGGCGGAGAAAAAGAACTTCGGTACGGCGGACCTGGCACAAGTGGCAACCCATGCTTTTGGGGGCAATATAAAAGCACAACGGCAATATCTGTTCCCAGATTGGGCGGTTGCAAACGGCGTCTGACCCAAAATGGGCGGCCGATACACAAGCCAGGATTTGGCATAAAGGAAGGCAACGGGATACCACCTTTACTATTAATTCCCAAGACAATAACATGAGTACATTTAATTCAAAATTATAAATAGTTCCCCAATCGGATCTCCGGGGGGAACGGCTTTAAATGTAACAAACAAAAGAGCGAATTTGAGAAAACCAATTAAGATCGGAACATCAAATGTAAGGAGCCTATTCGAGGCTGGAAAACTGGCAAACCTTACACGAGAAATGAACAGACTTAGTCTGGATATCCTAGGCGTTGCAGAAACCTGGTGGCCTGGGGTGGGAGAGTGCAATGTGGATAACGGCTTATTCTTTTACTCTGGTAATGAAGATCCAAAACACAGAAAAGGTATGGGAATCATAATAACAAAAAAAAATACTGAAATCTGTAGTGGACTTTGTTCCATAGTCGGATCGCACTGCTTTATTAAAACTCAGAGCCAAGCTAAGTGATCTTAATATAATACAGGTATGCGCTCCAACTGCAGATACGCCGGACCATGATGTGGAAAGATTCTATGAGGAAGTCAAAGAACTGCTCATATTGACTAAAAAACACGACGTCAACATAATTATGGATGACTTCAATGCCAAAATAGGAAAGGGTAAATTTGAGGAAATTATTGGTTCCTATGGTCTTGGAGAAAGGAACGAGAGGGGCGATCGACTTCTGCAGTTCTGCCAAAAAGGCATGAAAATAGCAAATACGGCGATTCAACTTCACTCTCGCCGTCTCTATACCTGGAAGTCTCCAGCGGACCGACCGGACAATGTAATACGAAACCAAATAGATTTCATCCTCATTAACCAAAGGTTCAGCTCAACCATCAAAAGAGCCAGCACCTACCCTGGCGCCGATGTTCCTTCTAAGCATGTGCTACTAGTGGCCGTAATGAAAATTGCTTTATCGAGTCAAAGAAAGCCAACCACACAGCGCCGGATGGCGTTAGAAAGAATGAGGGATCCAATAGTAAAATCAGAGATGAGTGACGAAATCAACACACAAATTCAAGCAATGATACCGAATATGGGAAAAGAACCAACACAATCTTGGACAAAGATAATAGACGTTATATCAAATTCAATGCAAAACAAGTTAGGATATGAAGCAAAAAACAAAAAGCAAAGATGGATGACGGATGAGATATTGTTGTTAATGGATGAACGTCGAAAGTACAAGAACAAAACAGATGGCATGTACAAAGATATTCAAAGACTCATAAGAACAAAGATTAGAATAGCAAAGAACAAATGGCTTAAACGTGAATGTTCAGAATTAGAACAGCTGCAAAACCAACATGATAATTTTAACCTGCATAAAAAGCTGAAGGAGACTGCTGGCATATATAAGAAAATGAGATCAACTGTGACAGTCAATAATAACAACCAGATAGTCTTCGAAAGCATAGAGAAGAACAATGTTTGGGAAAAGTATATAGAAAAACTTTTTGACGATGAAAGACCCTCAGCTGATATCAATAACTCACTAACCGGCCCCTCGATTACTAAAGATGAGATTGAAAAAGCCATCCTTAATTCGAAAAATAACAAAGCGGCTGGCCAGGGTGAAATTCCTGCAGAAATCCTTAAGCTGCTAGATGAAAGAGGCATTACAGCATTACATAAAATATTCAATATTATATATGAGACAGGTCTCTACCCCAAACAGTGGTTGCGTTCTACTTTTATACCCCTGCCTAAGAAGACCAATGCCAGAAAGTGTGAAGATCACAGACTTATCAGCCTGATGAGCCATACCCTAAAAATATTTCTGAAAATAATACACCAGAGAATTTAAAAAAAAATGTGAAAGGGACATAAGCGATTCGCAAATGGGATTCAGACAAGGGTAAGGCACCAGTGAAGCGATAGTTGCAACACATGTGCTTGTCCAGAACTGCTACGATCAAAGAAAGGATGTGTGCCTGTGTTTCATAGACTACGAAAAGGCATTCGATCGCGTACAACACTACAAATTAATGCAGTTCCTGAAAAGACTTGATATAGATCATAAAGACATCCAGTGCATTGAGAAGTTATACTGAACCAAACAGCACAAATAAAATTGTCCAATACCATGTCCAATCCCATACAAGTTAGAAGGGGGTGCGACAGGGTTGCGTGCTATCTCCACGGTCTTAATTGCAGACAATATACACGACCTACAGCAACTGGTCAACAAGGTAGGAGAACAGAGCAAAGCAATGGGTTTAAACATCAACATCAAGAAAACCAAATTTATGTTTATATCCAGAAACCCAGATGTGTTTATAAACTCCATTCTAACATTTAACTCAAGGCCCATAGAAAGAGTAGATAAATTTAAGTACTTGGGCATCTGGCTCTCCGAAAATTGGACATCAGACAAGGAAATTAAATGTCGCATCGAACAAGCTCGGCAGGCATTTTTGAGGTTTCGAAAAGTACTTGTCTGTTCTGATTTTGACCTTAGCCTTAGATTAAGATTCGTAAAGTGTTATATGTGGTCGGTGCTCCTTTATGGTATGGAAGGTTGGACATTGAAAGCTGCTACCATCGACAAATTGGAGGCTTTCGAGATGTGGCTATATCGCAGAATCCTGAAGATACCTTGGTTTGGTTTGGTTTGGCTAGATTGACAAATGAGGAAGTTCTCAGACGTGTTGACAAAGAGCGTGAATTATTTGAATTGATTAAAAAGAAAAAAAACGGCATACCTGGGGCACATAATGCGAAACCCCAAATATCAGTTCTTGCATTTGTTGATCGAAGGTAAGATCGAAGGCCGGAGGGGTATCGGAAGGAAGAAAATGTCTTGGCTGAGGAATATTAGACAGTAGACAGGGCTACTCGATGTTCAGTCGTTAATACACACCGCCCGGAACAGAGAAGCAATGGAAAATGTTATCGCAAATATCCATTAATGGATCTGCACTAGAAGAAGAAGAAGTTTATATAACAAGATAGTAGAAAATTCCAGGGAATTAGAAGAAAAGATTATAGAGAATTCCACGGAGCTACAAGACAAAATAACACAAATTGAGGACGATGTAAACAGAAAAATCGAGATTTTGAGAGAAGAAATGGGAAAGGCAAATTCACCAAAATGTCAAGAAAAACCGGAGGATCCGAAACTAGTCGAAAATAAGTATACCTCAAAGTCAGTTATGAAGCCTCCAGTTTGACGGAAAAACAGCTTGGGCCAACTACTTTTGTCAATTTGAAGCCGCTGCAAGAGCGAACGGATGGACAATCGCTGAAAAAGCTAACGCTTTGACTATCGCACTGCGGGGAGATGCGACTGGCATCCTGCAGACACTCTCACCATCGGAACAAGGAGATTGGTACGACATTTAGAAATGAGGTACGGGCAGGCTCATTTAGAGCATGTCTACCATTCCCAGCTGAAAAATCACATTCAGAAGTCAAATGAGTCTCTGCAGGAGTTTGTAGCGGACATAGCCCACCTCGTTCGCCTTGCGTACCCTGCTACACCTGAAAATGTTATGGAGCGGTTAGCAGTACAGGCATTCTCAGATGGCCTACGTGACGAGACAAGGCAAGCGCTTCTTCTAGCCCACCCAACGCACTTGGTGGATCCTTTAGCACGTGCCCTAGAATTTAAGGCCGCGAAACAAAGTTTTCGGTCTTTAGGAAGAGTACGGGTCATCGACGAATGTTGCGACGAATCCTTGGAAGGGATTGTACGGAAAGTTATGGACCAGTACATGGACAAGAAGGGACCGATTCGTTGCTGGAATTGTGGACAGGTGGGACACGTGCGAAGCCGCTGTAAGGAGAAGAATGAAGAACAGGCTTCGTCAATTTCGGAAAACTACTAAAGGTCGAAATGAAGGGGCACACGTCGACCTGTACCCAACATGCCCCAATGAAAACTGCTCAAGTCGCATCGTTACAACACAAGTTCAACAGCATTTTTGTGGATGGTTTCGTGGATGGAGAGTTACGGACCATGCTGTTGGATACGGGTGCGACCAAAACAATCATCAGGCCGGATATCCTTAAAACATCAAAAAGGATTAAAACAACACAATGGCGACTACATACAGCTACAGGAAGCTCCGCTCTCATCCATGGAGAGGTAGATCTTAATTTTGTTATCGGAAGCACCTGTTTTAATCATCAAGTGTTAGTAGCAGACATCGAAGATGAACTTATTCTCGGAATGGACATCATGGACCAAACCAAACCACTAGAGGTTTTGAACTAAACCTCAAACAAGGAATTTTGAAAATAAATGAAGAAGTGGTTCTACATCGAAATGTGAGGAGACGCTTCGCGTGGTAGTAGCAGAAGATGTTTCAATCCCTGAGCGCTGTGAGATATTTTTGAATGGTTGCCTGGAGGGTAAAATGAATAATGGGAGTATTATTCTGTTGGAGCTAAGGAACCATGACAGCGAAATAGGACGAGGTCGCTGTTGGAAAAGCTCTGCTACGAGCGAAGAAGACTGTACCGATGAGAGTAATGAACGCGAATTATTATTCTGTATCCTTGAAGAAGGGAACCCTGCTCGATCTCCTCAGTTATTCGAAGCATGGAAACCTCTAAAGTTTCGGCTTCGAAAATGCCGGACAAAATGGTGAAGGCGCTAGTAAATGTTAACCGATTATCTTCCCAGGATAGTAGAAAATTGAGAAACCTAATAATCAAGTATCAGGATGTGTTTGATAAAGGAGAAGCAGGACATAAAGGTCGTACCAATTTAGTACAACATAAAATTGACACCGGAGATGCGCGACCAATCAAACAAAATCCGAGAAGATTTCCACTCGCCAAACGTGAAGAAGCTGACAAAATCCTTCGAGAAATGAAAGAAGAGGGTGTCATCGAACCATCTAACAGCCCGTGGACATCGCCGGTAGTACTAGTAAAGAAGAAAGACGGTACCACCAGGTTCTGTGTTGATTATCGGCAGCTCAATAATGTTACCATGAAGGATAGCTATCCCCTGCCGAGGATAGACGATACTCTAGACACGCTGGCGGGGTCGACAATATTCTCTACCTTAGATCTGAAGAGTGGATATTGGCAAGTCGACATGGCGTCGAAAGACAGAGAGAAGACAGCGTTCTCAGTTGGCTCCGGACTGTGACAATTTACCGTCATACCCTTTGGATTGTGCAACGCGCCCGCTACCTTTGAAAGACTAATGGAGTCTGTGTTAAAGGGACTGTCCTGGACTACCTGTTTAGTGTACCTGGATGACGTTATAGTGGTTGGAAAATCCTTTGACGATCATCTTAAGAATTTGGAAGAAGTTTTCAAGCGACTAGCGAGCTCTGTTTTGAAATTTAGCTGCCTAAGAAATGTCATCTGTGTCAAGAAAAGGTACATTACTTGGGCCATGTAGTCTCCTCCCAGGGAGTTGCGGTAGATCCACAGAAGACCAAGACATTGGAAGAGTGGCCGATACCCAAAGACAACCATGAACTCGGAAGCTTTTTGGGGCTATGCACATGATATCGCCGCTATGTACAATGTTTCGCCACCATCGCAAAACCATTGACCAAGCTTACCGAAAGCGAGAAGCGTTTCTCTTGGGACTCAGATTCTGACGAGGTATTCCGAAAATTGAAGAAGGCCCTGACTAGTGCGCCCATACTTAGCTACCCTCTTGGCAACGGAAATTTCATATTGGATACCGACTCTAGCAATGTTCAAATTAGGCGGTGTTCTGTCTCAAATCCAGGATGGTCAAGAAAAAGTAATTGGTTATTTTAGTAAGACCTTGTCAAAACCAGAAAGGAACTACTGTGTGACCAGACGAGAATTACTAGCAGTAGTTAAAGCAGTGGAACACTTCTACAAGTATCTCTATGGAAGAGAGTTCTTGTTAAGAACAGACCATGCTGCTTTGAAATGGCTGTTGCAGTATAAGAATCCTGAAGGGCAGGTAGCTAGATGGATTGAACGATTACAAGAATTTGACTTCGAGAGAATCAGCTGGGGCAATCCATCGAAATGCCGACGCACTTTCCAGAAGACCTTGCGCTAAGGACTGTAAGCATTGTTCCCGAGCAGAAGAGAAAGAAGCGAAACTCCTAAGAACAACTGTGATTAATGATACTTGGCAACCCGAAGATCATGCAAATGACCAAATCAGTGACCCAGAATTAGGCTTAGTAATTAACTGGAAAAACGCAGACCAAATACCAACGTGGGAGGAAGTTTGCAGATATTCGTCGAACGTGAAGTGGTACTGGGTCCAGTGGAATTCCTTGGTAATAGATGATAGGTTACTTCGCCGTGTGATTGAGAGACAGAGGGACAAGAATAGAGAAGGCAGATCGTCATTCCAAAGAAGAGGGTCCCGGAAGTCTTGGAGGAAGTTCACAATGGAACCAGCAGAACTCTGCATCTTGGTGTTACCAAAACACTTGGCAAGCTGCGAGAACGGTTCTATTGGGTGAACTGCAAATATGTGAGGGCCTGGTGCAAGAAATGTGACGTTTGCGCCGCCATCAATGGGCCACAAAAGCGCGGTAAAGCCCCAATGCGCCAGTACAATATAGGCAGTGCCTTCGAACGAATAGCGATCGACGTGGCTGGTCCTTTCCCGGAGACTAACGATGGCAACAAATACATTGTGGTAGTAATGGATTACTTCAGCAAATGGGTCGACACCTACGCGTTGCCAAATCAAGAAGCGTCCACCATTGCTGACGCCCTTGTTAAAGAATGGATCTGCAGGTTTGGTGTTCCCATGGAGCTGCATTCAGATCAGGGAAGAAATTTTGAGTCCAATCTGTTCAAAGGTGTCTGTGAAGTCCTTAATATCCGCAAGACCAGAACAACTTCATGGTCCGATACAACAGCAGTGAGAAGGCTCGCTATGGTGTGACCAAAGAAGAACAACGAGACCTCTTTTCCGTGCCTCCTGATTAGCCCGACATTTGCGAATGTCTAGAGGAATCGCTTCGACGTTCAATGAGAAGTTTGGGCGTGTCGGAGAATTCGCCGACAGGATCCAGAGGTTGAAAGCGTCTTGAGGCTAACCGACAATGCACATGGTCAAGCAAGGCACATCTTCTACCTGGTCACAAAGGAATGGTCCCCGAGTAAGCCGACTTATCCCAATCTATGGTATACCTTGATTGAACTGAGAGAAGCCCTGCTAAACAACATTACACGATTAGCCATTCCGAAGCTGGCATGTGGACTCGATGGTTTGAGTTGGCGTACAATCCGTAACATGATTAAAGTCTTGTTCAGATTTACGGGAATCGAGATCCTCGTTTGCTGCTACAACCCAAAGCTGAGATCGGGAGAGAAAACTGTAGACTGCTATTTCTACCAGACTTCTCAATGTACCAGGGGCCAGCTTTGCAAATACCTTCATTCACCGTGTACATCTCGGGACGAGCATGTATTTAAGAAGGGGGCAGTGTTGCGGACCCGTTTGAACCCGGCCTTAGGCCTGGCCACTCGGCTATGACTCATACACCCGGCGATGTTCGTGAACGAATAAGAAGCTGGTGAGACGAAGAACGCGGCTAAGAATTTTCGAGACAAATCTGGATTGTCTGTTTCGCTCATATATAAGCCGGCGCCTGAAGCCTGACGAGGATAGAGAAAAACAATCGGTCGACGCGTACAGTTACAATCGCCGCGCTAAATTCAAAATAAATTCTTTCTAGATAAATAGTTATAAATCGCTTGTAAAATAGTTCTTTAAGTCTTTTATCGTTATTGTTTTTGTTAATTAGTGTTAAATAAATTGTGTTTAAATAAATTGTGACTTTCTATCCACACGGAACCGACGAAAAACGTAACAATATAAACTCATAGTACTTGCTCGAAGTCGCGGACAATCCGTCGCGGACGCTCAGCTCCACCTGAAAGCGCTGTTACAGGTAGGTATAAGTTAGTATAATAAAAAAGTTATGATATATGAAAGTACTTTCGAAAAATGTAATAATATACCAAGTGTCCCATTTAAAGTAACAAAGATGCTACCACTTACAGTATGAAGCGGCAACACTCTAATGCTGAAAATAATTTAGACAGATGGGGCGGTACCTTTATGCAAAAATCCATATGTTTAAAAAAATCACCTGTACTCCATAAACGTCTAACATACCATAACCGTGAAACGCCCAGTATATTATTAATTACTTTATAAACAAAACTCTCAATCGCGAGAAGCTGACTATGCGGAACAACCCTATTCCGCGCCTATTGTCATCTATCTTCAGGTTTATCACAAATAATCGCTTAATCGCTTTATTCAAAGCGTTGCAAACAGCCAGCTTTAGCATCCCGCCAAATCTCTATCTATCTATCTATCCAGCCTCTTCGGTCCATCGTTGGACATAGGCCTCCCCAATCTCTTCCACTCTTCCCTCTCTGTCGCCATGCTCATCCATCTTGTGCCTGCATGTTTCCTCAGATCGTCCGCCCATCTCATCTGGGGTCTTTCTCTACTTCTTCTATTCTCCCAAGGCCTCCAGTTTACGATGCATTTGTTCCATAGATCATCCTCCCGTCTGACACTGTGACCGGCAAACTTCCATTTCAATTTTGCTACTTCACTTCTAACATCCCTTACTTTAGTTTTTCCTCTGATCCACTCATTCCTTTTTCTATCTGCCAGCCTTATATGTAGCATGTCTTTCCATAGATCTTTGAGATTTGGTTACCTTATCCATATTTGATTTTGTCAGTGTCCAGGTCTGGGATCCGTAAGTAAGTACAGGGAGTACACATTGATTATATACTTTGGTTTTGAGGTACTGTGGATATCTTTTGTTTTTTAATATGTAACTTAATTTTCCAAATGCTGCCCAGGCCAGTCTTACTCGTCTCTTTATTTCATTTTCATTGTTTGGTTTTCTTTTTTCAGTTTAATCATTTGTCCCAGATATCCCGCCAAATACGTAATTAAAAATCAGCTAAAAACCGCTAATTTTCGAAAAGTATGTTTAATGTAACGAAAAATTTGCACCGAATTAAAAAATCTATATTTTATCTAAAACAAAATGTATTAAAATTAAAAAATTTAAAATCACATCTAGTTCCTAAATTAGGATTTAATTTATTAGGTTAGGGAGCAAAAAACCAAAGACAAAAGGAGCAAAATCCAAATTTTAATAAATTAGTTATATAATAATATAATTAGTTATAGATCCTTTATTTGGGTGCCTCAGCTTGACGATGTGATAACCCAAAAGGAATCTTTTGTCAGAGTCATGTGACACTCAATTTTCTTCATGATTGTGTACCGCTTCAAGATTTCTTGACCATTCCGCGACCTTTTCAGATCTATTATTGTGGTCCTCTTCTGATCTCCAGGACACGTTCTCGGAAATTTAAAAGGGTGTTCTTTTAATATGTAAAATGTGATCGTGTGTGGTGTGACCTTAATTGTACATTTTTCTGATGGTACTCGTATGTCACAATTTAACTTTTTAATAATAAATGTTGAGACCGATACTTTGAGGCTTGTTTCTTTTGGATTTGAAGACTGAACCCTCCATATAGCTTTTTGATAATGATTTGATAATGGTCTAGCATCGCATAGTACAAAGAACTGCTCATTTGCCACACTGGCGCACTGACATAAAACGTCATAAACACGTGGCTTCGTCCATCAACCCCATCAGCTTTAGATGCCTATTGAGCTTACAGTGTCCTGTAGTAGACTCACTACAGCTTTACAGTACAGAAAGGGTCATTATTGGTGGTTGACTTCTACAAAATCACTCTCAAGTTAAGCAAACTATTTCCACGGTAAGATTTAAAACTACTCGAGAGTAATAGTAATTTGCATTAGAAGATTCTATATACTATTTTTTTTGTTTGTATTGTTTCATTAAGCCCTTTTTTGCTTTGTATTGTTTCACTAAGCCCTTTAAAATTTTTAGTTCTGTTTGCAGCTTTCTAACTGTGTTTCCTAACTCTTTAATTTTCGTTCTGTATGTGGAAAACTGTTCTTTAACCCACTTCAGATTTTTTTCCCGTTTTATTGGTGTGTCAAAATCTTCACAAGCCAGATCTCCTATGTAACGCCGTTTCCTAAAACAAATTATAGAAACCCAGTGAAAGCATATGAAGGGTACAGGCAAACAAAGCGATAAGTAAAAAATCCGAGGTTTGAGAAAAACGAGTTTTAAAGGTTTTGAGAGCTTGGAAAACTAATTTATGAAAGTAAAATAGGACACATTCTTTAAATACTATAGTTGTTAGGACATTGTGCTACAAATAAAATTCATAGATATTTTTTAACGCACTGGGTGATTTAAAAAAGGTATCTTTTTACAATAAATCAAATTCAAACTGGGAAAGAAGGTGTTTAGGAAGGAAAATGGGCACAAGGGAAGTGCTCTTCGGTTTAAATGTTCTTACGCAAAGATGTTTAGACGTAAATCAAGATGGTTTTGTAGACTTCGAGAAGGCGTTCGACAGAGTTCGACACAAAAAACTAATCGAAATATTACAAAGAAAGAATATTGATAGTCGAGATACAAGATTGATAGCGAACCTTTATTGGGACAGACCGCTAAGATCAGATTAGATGATGTTTTTTTTTTCTGAAAAAATACAAATACAACGAGGTGTACATCAGGGATGCATCTTGTCTCCCCTCCTTTTCAATATATACCGAGTGCATCTCAAAAGTGGCTCACTCCTATAACTTTTTTATTTTTCAAATAAAAAATCGAGATTTGGTATGTTAGTATATGACATAAATTAGGACTGATTGACATATTCAATTGTTTTCGGTCATTTCCTGTTTCACCGGAAATGACAACTTTTGATTTTTAAATGGCACTCTCGGTATTTTGTTACTTTATTCGATAGAAAATGAGACTCTGAAGAGAATAAGATATCATATGTCAACTTTTGACATTTTCAAATATGGTTTATTTGAAATTGTAACATGCGATTCATAAGGACAATTTGACTCGAAATACCAAGTGTATGGTACTAAATTATTCGTAAAAAAATGCTTTTTCCAAACATGCTAGTGGGCCATCCTCGTTCCATTTGAAAAAAATGAGATATGATTAAAAATACAGTTTGGGCATCTTTTAACCGGCCAGGACAAGACACTAAAAACATTAGAGGATCAAATTTATTTTTCCAAGGTTTCTTGATTAAAAATTAGTGTTTGTAACACAGCCATGGCACACTAGATTTAATTTTAAAATGCAATTTTTTTTTAAACGAAAATGTCAAAAGTTGACATATGATATGTCATTCTATTCAAGGTGTCATTTTCTATCGAATAAAGTAAAAAAATACCGACGACGCCATGTAAAAATCAAAAGTTGTAGTAATTTCCGGTGAAACAGGAAGTAGCCGAAAAGAATTGAAAACGTCAATCATTTCGAATTTATGTCATATACTAACATACCAAACATCGTTCTTTTATCTGAAAAAATAAAAATAGTTATAGGGGTGAACTACTTTTGAGACGCACCCGATATAGTGAGGCCATTTTTCAAGAAGCTTTGGAAAAGGGAGATGAGGGAATCAAAGTGAATGGAATGAATCAACGAATCAACAATATCAATAATGACAGACAATAGTGAAGATCTGCAGAATCTACTTCAAAGAATAAATGTATCCTGCAAACAATATGGGCTGAATATGAATTTGAAGAAAACAAAATTCATGATTATCAAAGGACCAATATGATATGTATGTAAATATATGATATGAATGTAAATACTTCATATCAGTAGACATCACGCCAATAGAAAAAGTCCAACACTACAAATACTGGGGCACAATAATAAATGAAATTGCCGAACAATTGTAAGAAATAGAGTCCAGGATTGAGATAGCCAGAAATTCTTTTTTAAAACTAAAGAAATTTTGTTGCAGTAGAGATATAAACTTAGATTTAACTTATTGTATTGTGCCGAAGCGTGGACCCTTAAAATAGCCGAAATTAACAAACTGGTGGCTTTCGAAAGATGGTGTTATCGTCGCATGTTACCGATTTCTTGGGTCGATAGAGTTACAAATATCGAGGTGTTAAGCCGTATGAACAAGGAAGAAGAAATACATAAAACCGTTAAGAGGAAAAAAGTAGAATATTTTGCACACGTTATAAGAGGTCCTAAATATCAATTGCTCCAGAATATTATGGAAGGAAAAATCCAAGGAGGACGTAGTCGGGGCAGAAGAGGCAGAACATCCTGGCTGAGGAACCTCAGAGAATGGTATGGATTGACGTCGAATGGATTATTTAGAGCAGCCGCAAATAAAATCAAAATAGCCATGATGATTGCTAACCTCCGTTAGGAGACGGTACTCGAAGAAGAAGAAGAGAAGCAAATATAAAACAGTTCATATCTCATGACTAATCCCTTATTTAGCCAGAACAATTTTTGGGGACATATTTAAAATTTAAATCGATCCTAGATCATATATACTTACGTGGATAAATCAATGCCATAAGTTTAGCATTAAAAAATATGTCTCCAACATCACGACATGCCATTTTCAAACCTTCTTTATTGCACTTATGAAACATTCAATAGGTTTGTCTTTCTCGAGGACCTCAATTTGCGCATGCGCATTAAAAGTTGCACGTATTTCCAAAATAATCACAATTTTATACGGTTTTAGAAACTACAAATTACACATTGCTATGGAAACCAACTTTTCATTGTCATCATATTGTCATAATCATATGTCGTGCATATGTTATATTCTTATTTCCATTGTGTAACGACGCTTGTTTTTTGCGTTTCTTAATTTAAAAATTGCATTAATTACTTTTTCGATTTAATTGATCGCATTTATATAGCCAAGGATGCAAGTGTGTTCAGTGAAAAGTTAATTTTAAGTTTGTGCAATTATATTCCTATTTTTTTTCGTTGGACTTTCTAAATACTCTTAAAAATGAGAGTGTTTAGTGTGTGAAAGTTCTAATATAGAGGTCCACGGATTATCTTTTCGGCAAGTAAAGAATTCAGTTGTTCTTTTATTTATATTAAGCCATATGCATACTGTCTGGTTAGATTTCCTAACAATATCGATATTAGTACGGAGTGGCTAAATGTATTTTTTATACAATTTAATTTTTGTGACAGTAAACATTCAATTTATTGTTTAAATATAAGCATTTTAAAAATTAAATTTTTAAAATTAATGTGCAAATTTGGCGCGCGGACGATAGGTCCTCGACAAGGATAGCTAGAGTAGAAGAACCGCGTGTGCAACAAAAAAAGAAGATAAATGGAAATCGTTGATATGTTTGCGACAGTTTCCATAGTGATTTACTTATCCACGTAAGTATATATGATCTATGCATAGTATGCACCTTTATCGTGCAGATGACCTGATTTTTAACTCAATTTCGACAAAAACTGACTTATAGCCTTCTTTGCCTGTACCTTTCATATACGACTTTAAATACGTTGGTAAATAGGTGATAATATTAAACGGAGAAATAATCTTGAGTACAACGTATGATCGAAAACTATATATAATTCACCATTAACATGTAACATTCACAATTATAAATTTACATATACAGGGTGAGTCTTAAATAAGTGCAAATATTTTTAGGGGTTGTATATTTCGACCCCAGAAAACACCATTATGAGTTTTGTTCGGCGATTTTTTTGTAAATTTGGGATTTTTTGAAAAAAATTTAGGAATTTTAAGTAGTTTTTAGTTAATAAACATAATTTCTTGATAATATGGCAATATAGGTAGTAGATTAAATTTACAAGAAAAAAAACAGAAAAGATCCAAGTATTACAGCATCCTGTATCACAGAATATAAAAAAAAACGAAAAAAAGGTTCAAACCTTTGAATAAGAAGACTAAGGAAGGAGCATATCAAAAATCTTAGGTACACCGCGATGGGCCTCAAATATGGCCGACTTAAATTCCGGTTTATCAGTGTCGTTCTAATTTTATTTAAAAAATGTAAAACTTTGATGTAGGGTAGACGTGGGGTAGACCCAATAATTTGTTGTTTTATTTTACGTTGTGAATAAATGTTGGTAGTTATTAAAATTGTTATAAAAATATATATAATTCTAATAAAAATAGATAAGTTATAATAAGTATACTCTGTTTTTTTTCTCAGGTAAGATTTCGACAGACGATGACAGAAGAAAAGCAGATGACGTCCCATACCAATCTATTTATTTTACTAAAAAAAGTTTCTAATAATTTTTAAGTTATCTATGGATGGGTTTAAATATAAATCCGTCATGCGTCGTGTCTTGTTGTTTTTAACCAGTTTTATTGGTTTATTTAAAAAATGACAGATCGTATTTCAATTTTATTGGTTTGACGGAACGATGAACGACAATCGGACGCCGATGCGTATGAACTCGCCTTTAGATTTTGTCTTATTATTAATAAAATAGTTTGTTTTATTTACCTATGTTGTTTTATTTATTCCTGTGGAATATTACAAATTTGTATTTGTACATAAGTTATATTGATAAATATAATCATAAATGCGGGTAGTTTCATAAAGCTTGAAAGTAAATAATAGTTCTTTTTTATATTTTTTGGTATGTAGTGTCTTGTTCTTGTTTGTTTTGTATTAACATTACCTTTTTATTAAATAAAATAACTCAATTACATTTTTTCAGTTTTATACAGTTTTTTCACAATATTTTGAAGTAATCACTTGTCATCTTGTCAATCAAATTTTAAATATATCCTGCCATGCGTTCCAGTTGTACCAACTTATTTCTTTGTAAAATAAAATAAACTACTTTGAAATTAAAATGACAGACACATCTATCACTGTCAAGGATCTTCTCGTTGGACAGACTATATTTATTACCACAAACATCCGATACGCTACTAATGCAGGTAAGTCAAAATAACGTATCTAAATTCTTTGACATCTAATCTTTGACAATTATTATTAATAAATAAAAGTTAAAATGCAAGAAAAATATATAATTTAGTTAATTTAAGTGAATTTCATAAATGATCGGTTTACTACACGTATGTATATTATATCGTCACTTACTAGCGAAAAGTTGTTCCATTATTTCACTCAATTTTTTCCGAGATCTACCGCACGC